GGCATATATACTATAATATAATAGATAAGTTTCCCAAAATAGGTGGAATTAAAATGGGGAAGAAGAGAAAAGTTATACAGTTAAACCTGTCTATAGCGCCCTCTCTAAATAGTGCCTTCCTCTCTATAGCGCCTGATTTTAAATACGTAGTACGATGTGATTTACATTAAAGGTGACCTGTCTATGGCGCCCCCTCTAAATAGCGCTTTCCTCTCTATAGCGCCCGATTTTAAATACGTAGTACGATGTGATTTACATTAAAAGTGACCTGTCTATAGCGCCCCCTCTAAATAGTGCCTTCCTCTCTATAGCGCCCGATTTTAAATACGTAGTACGATGCGATTTACATTAAAAGTGACCTGTCTATAGCACCCCCTCTCTATAGCACCCTATTTTGGTGAGTCCCAAGAGGGGGTGTTATAGACAGGTTTAACGTTATATAATAACAAGATATTAACATAATGCATTATGCATCTGTTATAAGAAATTAGAACTAATCTTAACTCCTTTCTTTTTTAAAAATAAAACAATTTTCTACTGACCTTACTGCAGCCCTACTATTGATTTATAAATTGTAGGGTAAAAGAAGTAGAAAATTATTTTTAAAAAAAAAACGCATCAACAAATTTTTATAATACTCAATTTGTTACAAACCACAGAAAATTCAAGTTTTTTAAATAGAATAAAGGCAGTGGAGGATTCAAGTTGCTTTTGTAGTATTGAGGAACAAACCTCAAGACATCTACTGATCGATTGCTCAGCATTTCAAGATTATAGAATGAAGAATGAACTAGTTGTTTGTGAACTTAACGATTTGATTTCCGACAAAAAAATCATATTTAAAGTTCAATTCATTTTGTAAATACATTCTAAACTTTCTACAAAATCTGGATCTCTAGTGTTTTCATGTGTTGAATAATGTAAATAACTTATGTAAATAAACTTTTCTCCTTGTTTGGCGCAAGTATCCCTTGCGGGATATAGCGCTTTGGAAATAAAATAATTGTAATAAAAAAATAGTTTGAATTTCTTATAAGAGGTTTATGATCACACTTCACCAAAGTGTGTTTGGATCATGGTGCCATGATCAATGAAAGCTGCACACCTAACCTCCCATTCCATGAGATCAAGCTGGAGGAGCATGAACTCATGGAATTTGTGTAATCTTTACATAAGGGGATAAGAAACAACAACAAAATGATCAACACAGAGGTATCAGTACAACCACTGCCTTTCTCTACCAGCCACATGCTCAGTTGTTGTTGTTGTTGTTGTTGTCGTGTCCAAAGAAGAGCCTCAGATGTCCCTATGCATCTCTATCACAGCAGCAGCAAAATCCACTATCTTGGGTGTGTCAAGCTGCTGCTCTGGGTCTAAGTCAATTTTCTGCAAGGCTGCGGCCATTGCTGGCCATGAGAATATGTGAGTAGGTGTTAGTTCCACACCAGGACAGTTGTTGCATGTCCTATAGGTTCTTGTGCCATCTGGATGTATTGTCATCCTTTATAATGTTTTGTTCTAAGTCTTGTTATAGTTTTTGTCAGTTTTCTCTCAGAGTTTATTTCACATATTTGATCTTTTCTTATTTTTTGTTTAATTATCTTGTATTTTGTCAAAGCATCAAGCATGTTCAGTGAGTTGAACAAATAACAAACTTGGCAAACTAAGACCATCAAGGATGTCTTTGATAATGGGAAGGCAAAACGCCAGGTGGGTACAAATTTTTTTGCCAATTCTTGGGTGGAGAGATGATTTGGGAGAAATAGGGAGATGAGTGTTGGCAGCGACGGGAGCAGGAGGTTTGCCAGCTGGCTAGGGAGGGGGACAGTTGACCCACAGTACATCCCTTGCTGTCTGACGTGATAGATGGACCTCACTAGACCTTTGTCTTCTCTTGACCTTCACCAAGCCTTTCCCATTCCTCTCAATAAATACTCTTTTTTTTTTTGCTTATCCCTAGTACATGTGGTACAGGCCATTATAATCAAGGATTCCCCACCTTGAGAGAGTCCTTTAGAGAGAGATATCCTCTCAGCTGAGAGCTGATAATTAGTAAAAATGGTAATTTTAGTGATGAAAACTGTCTTTTGTTGAGAAGTATCCTCTCAAAGAGATTATACTATTTGTTGTTAGCGTCCATAAAGTCAACTTTTGGTGACACTATATGGACAAATATTGTCCAATTTGATCTGTTAGCAACCATCCCTCTCAGTTCATTTAGTGACCTTCCTGTAGCTTTCTTGATTCCTTCTAGCCAGCTCATTGAAGGTTTTCCTTTCTTCATTAAACATTTTTCCCAACATCAACATTTTTATTAAGGTGTAAATATTATTGAAACAAGGGAGTATAAACACAAGGTAATAAAGACCAAATCCAATCAAATAAATAGTGTTTGATGTTTCGGTAACAGCGTTGTTACCATCTTCAGACAAAAGTACTGAATGACAGTATTGCAGTCATTCAGTCTGAATTCATTCTGAATGCAGTTGCTGTTACCGAAACATCAAACACTATTTATTTATTTGGATTTGGTCTTATTACCTTGTGTTTATAATCTATAATCCAAATTGTACCTTACCGAAACAAGGGATTATTTTATTTAATCATCAACATCTTTTCTCTGAACCATTCTGAAATGTGAACAAAGTCAGTCTACTATACTCTCTATTAAATCTTCTCCAAATTTCTTTGTTTGTCACCCTAGCTGTCCATTTGGTGTCTTGAAGATTATTCTAGTACAGTAGAACAACCTCCCTGTAAAGGACACCTAAATGCAGAGCCAAAGTGTCCTTTAGAGAGAGGTGTCTTCTTACCAGAGAGTTGCTAAATTGTAAAAATGGTAATTTTGACAATGAAAACTGTCCTTTAGGGAGAGGTGTCCTCTTACCAGAGAGTTGCTAAATTGTAAAAAATGGTAATTTTGCAAATGAAAATTGTCCTTTATGGAGAGGTGTCCTCTTACCAGAGAGTTGCTAAATTGTAAAAAAATGGTAATTTTGCAAATGAAAATTGTCCTTTATGGAGAGGTGTCCTCTTACCGGAGAGTTGCTAAATTTTAAAAATGGTAATTTTGCAAATGAAAACTGTCCTTTGTTAAGAGGTGTTCTCTTACCTGAGAGTTGCTAAATTGTAAAAAAATGGTAATTTTGACAATGAAAACTGTCCTTTGTTAAGAGGTGTTCTCTTACCTGAGAGTTGCTAAATTGTAAAAAAATGGTAATTTTGACAATGAAAACTGTCCTTTGTTAAGAGGTGTTCTCTTACCTGAGAGTTGCTAAATTGTAAAAAAATGGTAATTTTGACAATGAAAACTGTCCTTTGTTAAGAGGTGTTCTCTTACCTGAGAGTTGCTAAATTGTAAAAAAATGGTAATTTTGACAATGAAAACTGTCCTTTGTTAAGAGGTGTTCTCTTACCTGAGAGTTGCTAAATTGTAAAAAAATGGTAATTTTGACAATGAAAACTGTCCTTTGTTAAGAGGTGTTCTCTTACCTGAGAGTTGCTAAATTGTAAAAAAATGGTAATTTTGACAATGAAAACTGTCCTTTGTTAAGAGGTGTTCTCTTACCTGAGAGTTGCTAAATTGTAAAAAAATGGTAATTTTGACAATGAAAACTGTCCTTTGTTAAGAGGTGTTCTCTTACCTGAGAGTTGCTAAATTGTAAAAAAATGGTAATTTTGACAATGAAAACTGTCCTTTGTTAAGAGGTGTTCTCTTACCTGAGAGTTGCTAAATTGTAAAAAAATGGTAATTTTGACAATGAAAACTGTCCTTTGTTAAGAGGTGTTCTCTTACCTGAGAGTTGCTAAATTGTAAAAAAATGGTAATTTTGACAATGAAAACTGTCCTTTGTTAAGAGGTGTTCTCTTACCTGAGAGTTGCTAAATTGTAAAAAAATGGTAATTTTGACAATGAAAACTGTCCTTTGTTAAGAGGTGTTCTCTTACCTGAGAGTTGCTAAATTGTAAAAAAATGGTAATTTTGACAATGAAAACTGTCCTTTGTTAAGAGGTGTTCTCTTACCTGAGAGTTGCTAAATTGTAAAAAAATGGTAATTTTGACAATGAAAACTGTCCTTTGTTAAGAGGTGTTCTCTTACCTGAGAGTTGCTAAATTGTAAAAAAATGGTAATTTTGACAATGAAAACTGTCCTTTGTTAAGAGGTGTTCTCTTACCTGAGAGTTGCTAAATTGTAAAAAAATGGTAATTTTGACAATGAAAACTGTCCTTTGTGGAGAGGTGTCTGCTAACAGGGTGTCCACTAAAGGGAGGTTGTACTGTAAATTCAATAATGTCACCTTGAGGGAATATGACACTCAATGATTAAGGAAACGGAGAAGAAGTTCAACAGGGAAAAGTTAACAACAATGCCGTGTGTGTGCATTGAGGAAAAGTAGTTAGAAATAATTTGGAATAATTATCATAATCAGCTGGATGGACAGGATCCATAATTATGCCATCAGATGTCGCAATGTGCGAGAAACTTGTCAAACTCGAGTTTTTTTTCTTCTTCTAAATCTCAATAGGAAAAAGGAGAGAAAGAGGTTTACATAACACAGCGCAACAAATTATAATTTGCATAACCATTTCTTTTTTTGCATATTCCAAAATAGCACACGTAGTACATACACTAACCAGTACCGTTCTAACATGGATCAACAGCCTGAAATATAGAGATGTGTTTGGATTTTCTTTTTTTATAACTCTATAAAGGGTATATGACAGTAAAAGAAAAAATAAGACCTAATCCAAATAATTTATTAGTGTGTGACGTTTCGGTAACAACATTGTCACCATCATCAGACAAAAGAATAAAATCAAGAATTTTGTCTGATGATGGTGACAATGTTGTTTCCGAAACATCACACACTAATAAATTATTTGGATTAGGTCTTATTTTCTTTTATTATAATCTATAATCCAAATTGTGGTTTATTGGTATATGACACTATTTGCCAATTTCTGGAATTAGAAAAAAAATGATGAATGCTTTATAGACATACCATAGTGGAAAAAAAAAAACTGCCTCTTATTCCATCACCGAAGTTAAGCAATGTTGGGCCTGGTCAATATTTGGGAGGGTGACCACGTCGTGTGTGGTAACATTGAGTGTCGTACTGTTTTAACTCTGGTTATTGCTGGTCCCAAACACAGATAGAAAATGAGGAAGAGAAATTGTAACAGATTTATTGAGAACTTGGCTTCCATGAGCCTGTACGGCTGAGAGTTCCCTGTAAGGACTCCTGATCTAGAGACACGGGATGGACAGTAACTGTACTGCACATGGCATCTGATTTTCATGTCAAAGAAGAACTCCGCTTTTGCCGGGTCCAAAGCGCTGATTAAAAAGGAGGAAGGGGAGCAGTAACAAGCTCACTAAAAAACCTGGGCTCAGCTGGCCATGCTGATAGTACTCTGTAATGCTCCTAATCCAGGGATACAGGATGAGCAGCGTTTGTATTCCATGTTAGGAGCAGATGTACATGGTATTTGTTCCTAATGTCAGAGGTGGCCATTACATATTGGAGCTAAGTCAGTGGCCTGCTACTGAGTAGTGGTTCCAGCCTTTATGACAAAGGCAGACACATTCTACATCACCAAGTCATGTGAGAAATGAAAGAAGATGTCAAAGACAGCCATTCAATATTGAAGCTAAGATGGTCCGCTACTGAAGAACAGTCTTAATGACTAATGTAGATGTAGATGGAAAATTTGCCGGGAGAAAATTAATCCATGGAAGCAATGGTCGCCTCTCCCGTCAAAATAAACGTCAGAATCTGACGCCATCTATTGACCGTCGCCGCAACTAGCGGCATTGGGTCGGTGACAAAGCCACAACACCAACTTTGGCAAACTGATAAGCGTCCACCTAGAGACCATGGTTTCGGGCTAATGGCCCTCGTCAGTCTAGGGCGGACTTTATTCCATGAGATTCACACGGGATCTAATGGAATCCTCACAATCTACCAAAGAGGTGTTTTGCTGGCAATGTGGCTGGGCCAAATCTATTGGCAAAACTGACGTTTATTTTGACGGGAGAGGCGATCATTGCTTCCATGGATAATGTAGATGTATTCTCTCAATTATGTTGGTTGTGAAGACCTTTGAACAATTGAGAAGAAGGTCTGTGGTGGAGTATTATAAACCATCAATTTCTGGCAGACACGACCTGGGATCGAATCCTGCATTTGACAATTTTTTTTTCCCGAAGAAAACAATTACTTCAATAGTCCCTGATTCTTGCCAAAGGCCAACCCCACCAGTATGTGCAAGTTTCAAAATGTCCCATCATGATTATCATAGCTGCCTGTACAAGTGATAACTTCTTGAATATGATTCCAATGAGATAAAAAGAATGAGAAAAAAATAATATTGCGTGACTAGGAATTTTTTTTTTTTTAAAGACAGAGGTTGTTCACACTAGGTTATCTCGTGTCTTCAATAAAGGTCACTGTAATATCTTTCAAGAGTTATTGTCTGAATCCTGATATACATGGTAAAAGGTACAACTTCCTTAAGTTTTGTCCATGAGTGTATATATGTGTGTCTTCAATAAAGGTCACTGTAATATCTTTCAGAGTTATTGTCTCAATCCCGATATACACGCTAAAAGGTACAGCTTCCTTAAGTTTTGTCCATAAGTGTATATATGTGTGTCTTCAATAAAGGTCACTGTAATATCTTTCAAGAGTTATTGTCTGAATCCTGATATACATGGTAAAAGGTACAACTTCCTTAAGTTTTGTCCATGAGTGTATATATGTGTGTCTTCAATAAAGGTCACTGTAATATCTTTCAGAGTTATTGTCTGAATCACGATACACATGGTAAAAGGTACATCTTCCTTAAGGTTTGTCCATGAGTGTATATATGTGTGTCTTCAATAAAGGTCACTGTAATATCTTTCAGAGTTATTGTCTGAATCCTGATATACATGCCCTTTTAGAATTTTAGGTATAACTTCTTTAAGTTTTGTCAATGAGTGTATTTGTTCCTAGTGGTTAGAGTGAGGTTTGATTTAAAAAAAAAAAAACTTTTTTTATTGTTAAAATTCTAGTAAAAAATGTTTTTGAGAGTAGGAAGCGGAAACAGGACGAGATGATTTCATATCAGGTTTCCTAAAGTTGGAGATAACCTAGCTCCCCAAGTTTGACATGTATCAGTGCAAGAGACTCATTTGTAAATTAATAAACACAAGGTAATAAGACCAAATCCAAATAAATGAATAGTGTGACATTTTGGTAACTGTTGTTACTATCGATAAGGTCAAATTTGGATTATAGATTATAAATACAAGGTAATAAGACTAAATCCAAATAAATAATGTGACGTTTCAGTAACAGCGTTGTTACCATCTTCAGACAAAAGACAAGACTTCAGACAAATTAATGTCAGTACTTTTGTCGGAAGATGGTAACAACACTGTTACCGAAACGTCACACACTATTTATTTATTTGGATTTGGTCTTATTTACCTTGTGTTGTTACTATCATCAGATAAAATATCCAGTAAAATTCAGTACTTTTGTCTGAAGATGGTAACAAAACTCTTACAGAAACATCACACACTATTTATTTATTTAGATTATTACCTTATTTAGTCTTATTACCTTGTGTTTATAATCTATAATCCAAATTATGATTTCAAAATTAGAAACTATTATAGACGCGTATGATTCTTTTTAAAAATAAACAATTACTACTGCCCTTACTGCAATGGAAAAATTAATGGGAGGGCCTGGCTCATCAGTGGTGAACCCTCCCAGCGGTTTTGCTAGTTTAATCTACCATACAGCTGTTATATTGCATTTTTGGAACTTCCTTTTATAGTGATACTGATATATTTTGATAACAGATGGCGCGATAATGCAACATAATAAAATTATACTTTATAATAAACTAATAACTAATATTTTTTAGTATAACAACACATGAATACAGTTATTAAGGGGGGGAGGGGGGTTCTCAATATAGATCGCTGTCTCTCTTTACCCTGAGAAACAACCTAGAGTCCAGCTACTTGACCAGCTCCGTAACTCCAAGGAAGAGGCTCTAAGGACGACTATCAACCATCCAAAAACTTATCCAGAACTCTTTTTTATTGAAAAACACGCTCAATTTATACATTAAAAGAAATTTACATATTTTTTCTCTTAGTTTTTAAGTTACAAATATATTTACATAAATTTTTTTTTTTTTTTTACTTATCCTTTTAGTCTAAATTAGACAAGATCTTGGAGGTCGTGCTCGTAAAGAAGCTCAAGAACTCTTCTTGGTTCACTGTACAGGGATCTTTTGTCCTTTCCAATGCAATTTAGTAAATGTTGGGGAGTGGCCTCTTCGGTTTTGCACCTAGTGTACATGGGGAAGCTTTTGGCTCCCTCTTTATAGACTAGAGGGCGCAGGTGACCAGATTTCCATAAAGTTGACTACTCTAGTAGTTGTAACAACAGTAGAACCTCTGTAAAGGACGACACTTAGTTACAAAGCCAAAATGTCCTTTAGAGAGAGAGAGAGGTGTTCTATATCGTAAAGCAGCTAAACAAGGTTTTTTTTTTGCTTATCCTTAGTACACGTGGTACAGGCCATGATAATCATGGGGTGTAGAAGTAGGCGACTGCTTTTACTGTAAGTACACCACATGTCTACACATGTTAAAATCAGTTCGACTTTGCACTTACACATATGCCAGAACCCTGTTTGGTTACTTGTACTCTTTGGTGGGGTTGGACTTTTACAAGACTTTAACTTGACAGACTTTTGCTAAACAAGGTAATAAGACCAAATCCAAATAAATAGTGTGTGACATTTCGGTAACAGCATTGTTACCATCATCATACAATAGTACTGAATTTAAAACCAAATTATGCCTTATCAGAAAGCAACTAATTAGTAAAAAAAAAAGGTAATTTTCTCATTAAAAAAAAAACTGTCCTTCATAAAGAGGTATCTGTTAGCGGGAATGACTCATAATTAAAATTCTATTGTGTTTTTATTGGCTGTTAGGTGACCACAGAAATCTATTGTCCAATCAGGATCTTAAAAAAAATTGATATTTCCAATAGAGATATGAAAACCTGTGGAGAACCCATTGTAAATCTTAAAAATTTGGATGAAAGGGCACAATTTGGATTATAGATTTAAACACATGGTAATAAGACCAAATAAATAAATACTGTGTGACATTTTGGTAACAGCATTGTTACTATCATTCTTTTGTCTGATGATGGTAACAATGCTGTTAACGAAACATCACACACCATTTATATATTTTGATTTGATCTTATTACCTTGTAGTTCTAATCTATAATTCAAATTTTGCCCTTTCATCAAAACATAGTGATACAAGGTAATAAGACCTAATTCAAATAATTTAATAGTGTGTGACGTTTCAGTAACAGCATTGTTACCATCATCAGACAAAAAGAATAAATGTCATTACATGTACATGTAATTCAAAACGTCATGTAAATAAAAAAACATTTATTCTTTTGTCTGGTGATGGTAACAATGCTGTTACCGAAACATCACATACTATTAATTTATTTGGATTAGGTCTTATTACCTTGTATCTATAATCCCAATTTTACTTGATCACTTTGTCTTATTACATTTTATCTATTAAAGGGAAAGACTCTTCTAGTAAGGTATATCAATTAAGAAAGGTTCAGAAGATGAGTTTCTTTTATTGAATAAAAGAATAAAAGAAAAAATGAATAAAAGAAACTCATCTTCTGAACCTTTCTTAATTGATATACATTTTATCTATAATCTATAATCCAAATTGTACCTTATTAAAACTGAGTGATGTTTTCAAAGGCAAGCAAGCATGGGGGAAAGGAATGATAAGGCACAATTTATAGATTACAAACACAAGGTAATAAGACCAAATAAATAAATAGTGTGTGACGTTTTGGTAACAGCGTTGTTACCATCTTCAGACAAAAGTACTGTATCCACTCACTACTACACTGCTTTGCGCAGAGGCGATATCATAGCCAGTGAGGAACTTCCGAGGCGTGATTATTGCTAGTTGAAAACTTTACCCACTCACTACAACACTGTTATTGAAACGTCACAAACTATTTATTTATTTGGATTTGGTCTTATTACCTTGTGTT